ACCATGCTGTTCTTCCCAGCCCATGCCACTTGGGGTGGGGCAGCCAATCCCAGGAGCTGGTTTCCCGGAAGCCCACAAATTTCTTATTACTGGAGACTACAGAGAGTCCTGCTTAGAGACTATGATAGATTTCATGACCTTTCTGACTTCTGTGCAGTTTGGACTTTTTCCATTAAGTATCTTCTAGCCTCAATGTAGCACCAGCTTCTTTGGGCCCAGTAGAGCCCTGTGGTATGTGACCAAGACTTGACCTCTGTCATGGAAACTTAGGGAAGTGTTGATGAAAAAAAAATTCATTTGCTCTTCACAGGAATCAGTACAGATTTCTCTCTTGTAATTTTGAAAAAGCAGTCTGCATACTCTGATTTCCATGGTTCAGCAGGAGATCCAGGAGATAACCTCAAATGCAGGTCAGAACCTTGGAAATTGCAGGAGTGTTGGAAATTTCAGGAGTGGGGAGTGTAGAAAGCAAGAGCCATGTGAAACTCCAGCAAACGGGGATGGTGGTTTCTCTATCCTCTCTAATGGGAGATGAGCTATAGGCATGCCTAGTAGGACTTAACCAATCAAGTCCATCACTACCCAGGTGAATGCTCTGTGAAGTTGATACTGCTGCTATAGCATAATGTGTAAAACTAAAGCCATGGGTATATGGTTTTCTTGTTTGTTTTCTCTTTTATATAGAACTTTTTCATTATCTTAGCTTTAAATATTCTATTTTTAAGTCAGGATATTTTCATCACAGTGCCTTGCATTGGGTTAAGACAGAAAATTAGATCCTCTTCCTTTGACCAAACATTCCTGTGGTCCTGAAGTCATGAACTTCCTCATGCTGAATAATCACTGGGGGAAAGGAATATAGAAGAGTCATCACATCCATTGCTCTGTCACAAAGCAGAACTGTGCCAACTCTATCTCAGATGGGTGGGTACCTTTTGATTTCCAGAAATATAAAGCAAAGAGACTAAAATTCTTCTTAGTCACTTATTCTAAGTTTTAATGACAATTATGTCCTAAAGTTCTTCCTTTTATCAAACTCCATTCTTCCCTGCTATAGTTTAAACCCATTTGCTCTTGCTTTATCTTCAATATAAAGAATAGCTGGTTTTGCCCTAACCGGTTTGGCTCAGTGGATAGAGCGTCGGCCTGCGGACTGAAGGGTCCCAGGTTTGATTCCAGTCAAGTGCATGTACCTTGTTGCGGGCACATCCCCAATAGGGGGTGTGCAGGAGGTAGCTGATTGATGTTTCTCTTTCTCTCTCTCTCATCGATGTTTCTAACTCTCTATCCCTCTCCCATGCACTACTCCCTAATACTTATATGCAAAAATGTCTTTATTTTGCCCTCATTCTTGAATAATAATTTGGCTGGGGGTAAAATTATAGGTGAATGTTTATTTTCCCTCAGCACTTTGAAGATATTTATAAATGGCTTGTTGACTTCCTTTATTTGTAATAAGTTTGCTGTTTGTAGTTCTTTTGTAGGTAACCTGTTTTCTCCTTCTAGCTTTTGATATTTTCTCTTTTTCTTTGATGTACACAATGACGTTTGTAGATGTGTGATTTATTTTTATTTAGCTTGATCAGCACATGACTTTTTCAGCCCAAAGGCTCAAATTTCTTTTTATTTATCTTTAGTCATTAGCTTTGTGAAAGTTACCTCTTTCCCCTTCTATCATTTTTTTTTCATTTTTTTAAAAAACACCTTTATTTTTTAAAGTATTACATATATCTCCTTCTCCCTCCCCCCTTGACCTCCTCTAGCCCCAGGCCTTTACCACCCTATAGTCTGTTTCCATGGGTTATGCATATATGCATTCAGGTTCTTTGGTTGGCCTCTTCCTATCCACTCCTGCATGGTGTATGCTGTTGCAGTTCATTTAATTTATACTCTTTGTCTTTTAATGTCACCTTCATTTTTTCCATTTTGTTATATACCTTGTAATAATATATTACTTGAATTCTGTCCTCCAACTCATGAATTCTTTCTCCAACCTTTGTATGCCTTTTATTTATGCCATCTATTGTTTTACTTGTTGTTTTGATTTTCAATAGCTTAGTTTCCCCCCAACTTTTAAATTATATTTAAAAATATCTACATGTTGCTGTTTTATAAACCCTGGCCATTATTTCTTGGGATCTTATTCTCTTCTTTATTTGTTTAAGGCATTTAACTATTTAAAATCCATTTCATATTGTTCAAATATTTATATTTTTTCAAGTTTGAATTCTCACTTTTGTTAGGTTTCTTGAGGGCTTTTCTTAGTTCTGAATTTCCCTTTGTTTTCTAAAAGTTTTTTTAAAAAAAAAAAACTCACAATCCCTGGGGTTTTTTCTCTTCCCTTCTTTCCTGGTGGAATTGTTGTTTCAGGCCTTGTAGTTTACTGAGCTCTAAACAAGGTCGTATATTAGTGTTTCATCTTGGACTTTCTCATGACTGGATGGTCTGTCTTTACCTCTGTTTTCTTATGCAAAGCTAGTCCCTGATAATGATCTTCGACTGAGACCTACCTTGGTCAGTCAGATCATTTTAGGGGAAAACATGGGGTGGGCAGAGCTACATCAGTCCTTGTTTACATGTGAGGAGTATAACCTTACTCCCCTGCAAATTGTATGCCATAGTTCCTGCTCAGCTACCTGGCCCCAACTGTTTGTATCCAGTCCCAACTGCCAATGGACGATATGGCTTTAGCCCCAATTACTGCTGTACTTTCTTTCTTTCTATGTTTTATTCCATAAGAGTCTTCTTTAATTTCTGACTATAATTTTGAAGTTTTGAAGTTCATTGATTTATTTTTAATTTTACATTTTATCTCTCACTCCTCTTTGGAAAAGAACAAGGACTTTTCTCATGTGCTCTCTCTGCCCTATTGAACTGGAATGAAAACCAGCTATTCTTTTTGTTAAAAAATATATATTTTATTGATTTTTTACAGAGAGGAAGGGAGAGGGATATTTTAAGCAATAAAACAAAATTTTTTAAAAAAAGGATTAGGGAACTTTAATACCACTACCCACAGGAAGAACTGCTAAAAGGTTATTGTTGACAAGAAGAAAAATAAACTCACAAGGAAGTGACTTGCAAGAACAAGAAAGAAAAAAAAGGGGGAACAGCTGGTTTCTATGTATGCTCCATAAAATGGGCTTTTTAAGTCTTCAAGACAATGTGTTTATTTCTTTCAATTTTCTCTTTTCTGGGATTTATGATCTCAATTTTTTAATACTTATTTTTCTTTCAAAATACTTCTGGCTTATACTTTTTCTCAATACTTGCTTCCTGCTATTCAGCTGGGGTAAATGACAGCCATACTCCATTCTATGCTCTTCTACCCTGTGTCTGCCTCATGCCTTAACCTCCTTTTCAAGGAAGAATAATCTCTACATAGCAGTTTCAATTCCTATGACTTTAGACCACTTTTCGAGTCTTCTGGGGAAAAACAAAACAACTTTTATAATGCTATATGAAAGCAACTTGACAGATAAAAGAAAAAGCTCCGCAGATTAGCCTCTTTATCAAAAATGTTGCTCAAATCTACCCAAATCCCTCCTATACCACACTCTTGTAATACCGTTAAAATAGAAAAAGCAAATAAATGTATACAAAAAGAGTAAGCCTCATTCATTTATGGATTGATTCCAAAAAACAACTTTTAGGTTGATCATATGCTGGGCCAGTCTCTTACATCTTGGAGCATATATTATCATCACCAAGGCTCAGAACAATAAGCCTGTAACATGATATGAGATTTTATCACCTGGTAAAGAATTGCTTGTGTTCATCAAAGTGCATTTACTGATGCAGGAGAGTTCACTCTATAAAGGTGGTGACAAAAAGGGTTGGGCATTTATTTTCCATTAAACAAAAACTCATTCTCGCAACATTTCAGTTAACAGAGTTTTCCCTGAACCACATTCCTAGTCCCATTCCTATCATTTTTGTCCTAACACGTTTGGTTTCTCTCTTGTAAGTTCTTTCTTTACTATTTAAAATATTACCATTGATGCCCTACACTAGTGGTTCTTCATGTGTTTAGTGTCATGTCCAGCACCTTTAGGAATACCAATAAAACTATGGATCCTCTCTAAGGGAATTTACACATATTTGTAGTTACACAAAACACTGCAAACAATTTAAAAGGGTCCCTTGACTCCATAACGCTCACCCGCGGACCCCAATTGCAGCACCTCCTTCCTAGAGGAAGACAAAAAAGACTTAGAGGACTATAAGGTTTCTACTACCGAGATCCCAAAATTGTCACTTAGCTTTTCCTAGGACTGCTGTTGGACCCACAAACATTCTCTGAATCATTCCACATTTGCACGCCTCTGGTTTGGGAGCCAGGCCCCAGCCAGATGTGAACAAAGTGTCATTGAGGGAGCCCTTGCCTCAGACAAATACCCTAGCCACAAACCGTGAAAGTAGACATCCTAACAGCCTTGTGAAACAGTCTCTGCCCGCCTTCCCTTTAGATTTGCTCTTAACAATGTGTACATAATAACTGCAGTCTGGAAGAGGTGACTATTCAGCAGGCAGGCAGCTTTATACTGTCATAAACCTCGCTATTTCAGCTCCTTTGATTTATGACGAGCCCCTCATCATTTAGAAGCTATGCTCAGATGCAATTCCAGCACTAATTGCATAGGACACGTGCCACCATGCTACAACTCCCCTGGTGCCCACTTCCCATGGCAGGAAGAGGCTGTTTATGGCAAAAAATCTCTGGGCCACAATTCCCTTCCCCCAACTGACATCCACCTTCAAATGATTAAAAGCCCAATGAAAATCTGTTACTGGGTACCCAATAACTTATTAGAGCCTAGAATGTGCCCCACTTGGGCTATAAACAGTATTTAGGGGCAAGTGTGGGCTGCCTAAAAGTGTCCTATTGTTATTTCTGTCTGGAAGTTTCCCTCCTGGGGAATTAGGGAGATGGAGTGAATTGGGTAGAAGAGGGAGGAAGGAGAACCACAGCAGGGAAAGAAAGAGGCTAACAGGTTTACCTGGGCAGCGAGGGCAGCACAGATGAGGAATATGCACGGGAGAGAGGCAATGAAGACTTGGACATCTGACTCGGCTGCAAATCACATTCCCATTCTGAAAGAGAGGAGGCAACAACAACAAAAAATCAAATGTCTTTCAAAGGTCAGTGGGATCATGACAGTTTGGGAAACAATCATGCAGGGACTCACCCAGACAGTGAATAATGCATTCCTGAGAAGCGGAATGAAATCAGCATTTTTCTTTCCTTTTCTCATCACTAGCACCTCTGCTGGGTTGGTTGTTAGCTTATTGGCATATTTTTCTAAGATGGGATCACTACTGCTCCAGTTTTCAAAGCCTTCTTTTTTCTGACTTGGCTCTGTGGTGTTTCTACCATTCCCCAGCTCTAAGTATACATATTTTCCAAGAGCCTGTTCTGATTTCACACTTACCTGCTCAATGCCATGGAAGGGAAGGGATAATGAGCCATGAGTCCTGTGAGGGGCTGGCTACCCTCCCCTGGGCAAGGAGATATCCCTAGCACACGGATCCTAGATTCTATATAACCCTGCCTTGGTCCAGTAGGTTGAGTGCTTTCTCTCTTCATTTCCCTATTCAGTCATTTTTTTTTCTGAGAACAAGACTAGAGCTTGGAATTGAGCTGAATAGCTAGTATGCATGGGTGGGGCAACTGAGTCCTTGCCTGATTTACAATTACATGACCCTTAGCTCTGACCACTCTCAACCATTGCTAGAACAAAGGAAGACTTTGGAAATCAATTTTCATTAACATTTTCCATCCATAATTCAGTAGAAGAGGTTACTTGTATCTGTCAGGCTATTGTAGGGGGAGAAAGTGATGAAGAGAATGGAGAAAAAAGATGTCTAGCACTAGAGCTGTTGTCATTGGGATCATATTAACATTTTCACTATCCTTCAGACAGCAAAGCCTCAGCCCCCAAGGGTTAGCTGTCCATTTCCAATGTGTTAGTCAAGAATCTTATACAATCATGCCATACCAGGTAGTTAAACAGTCCCTAGATGCTCCATTCAATAGCTCCCCTAATCTTTTAAAGAGGCAGGCTTTCTATATCCAAATCTGAGTCACTTTACCATAAACCTCCTTCTTTTTCATGTACTTTCTAGATGAAATTTTTTTAGTGTTGCATTTGGAATACCACAGAGCCCCTCTTATGTGTCATGCTCCTCAGAGCCAGGTGGTGTCATCTTGAAGTGAGATCAAAGCACATCAGAAACCACTCCTACGTTTAGCGCTACTGTTGTCTAGTGGGTAGAGGACAGGGATGCTGCTAGACATCTTATAATGCACAGAAAAACCACTGCAACTAGGAATTATCTGTCCCCAAATGTCACTAGTGTCAAGATTGAGAAACCCTGGCCTAGGATATCCTGGTAGAGGTTCAGAAAAATAGATTATAGCTATGGTCTGGGATTAAGGCCATGAAAAGAAAATGGGACTGCTTACTTTGTCTATTGCAAAGATACCATTTAAGGTATCAAAAAGCCTCTCAGTGATTTGTGAGGAGCCAAGGCCAAGCCAATCACTCTAAGCCTCACAGGTACAGGCCCAGGTTTCACAACCTCAATCCTAATTACAGTTATTGACTAAGACAACATAAAATACAGTCTCCCAATGAACCGACATATAATCTGCCCTATTCTCTAAAGGCCAGCCCTAAAAATGGTTTCCAAAAAAACCCCAACAATGTTATCTTACAATTCAGGCACTACATGGAGCTTTTTCCTTGACTCCCACTATCAAGCTATTCTTCTTCTCCTTTCATGTCCTATATCATTTGGCTAAAAGACCATAAGTATATGTCCACAGCAAATACTCAGAGCTCCCATGAAAATCAACCTTAAAGGCAATAAAGGAAATAGGAGATGTGTAATTTTCCTTGTGATCTGTTTCTTATCTTGTGTTAGGATTTTAACACCCATGCTCACTGGCCATCTGGACACTGAAACACCTCTGCATGTTGAGGAACAAACTTGGAAATCACATGCCATGAAGGTTTGTACCTCTGAGCAGATGCAGTTCACACAGTAAACCAAGCCATATGGTTCCAGGTAGGGATGCCATCTCTCTCCCACTCTGTACCTCTTGTCTTGAAACATACAATATGTCTCTGAATCTGTGAGGAAGGAGATGAAGAACATGCCTGTTAGAAAGCACAACCAATTCACAAATCCAAAGGCAATCACAGGTTACATGTGTACATCAAGGAAAGAGGCATAAGGAATATTTACAGAACATCTACTATGGCCCTAAGTATACCTAAAATCTGCTTATTCATCTCTTTTCCCCTCTATCCCCCAAACTCCCGAAAACCACTGACATTTTTACTGCGTCTATAGTTTTGTCTTTTCAAGATGTCATATAGAGCCCAAGATGCAGTATAGGACATGCAATCTTTTTAGACTGGCTTCGTTCACTTAGCAATATGGCATTTAAGGTTTCTCCATGTCTTTTCATGTCTTGACATCTAATTTATTATACCATTGAGAAATATTCCATTGAATGGGTGTACAGCTTATTTATCAGTTCACCTATTGAAGGATATCTTGGTTGCTTCAAATTATTGGAAAATGTGAATAAAGTTACTATAAACATTTGTGTGAAGGTTTTAGTGTGGGCAGAAATTTTCAATTTATTTGGATAATACCTAGAGTATGGCTGATGGATTGAGTAGTAAGGCTATGTTTAGCTTTGAAATAAATTGCCAAACTGTCTTCCAAAGCAACTGTACCATTTTGCATTCTGACCAGTAATGAATGAAGGCTTCTGCTGCTCCACATTCTCACCAGTATTTGGTGTTTGGTGGCATATTTTCAGTATTAGCCATTCTAATAGGTGTGTACTGGTGTTTCATTTGTTGATTTAATTTGCAATCCCCTAATTACACATGATGTTGAGCATCATTTCATTTACTTATTTGACATCTTTATATCTTTTTTAGCTCTTCTACCCATTTATCGATTGGGTTGTTCATTTTCTTATTGTGGAGATTTAAGAGATTAAGAGGGGCTTTTTTTGGATACAAGCCCTTTATCAGATATATGTTTTTGCAAATATTTTCCTTCAGTTTGTGGCTTGTCTTTTCACTTTCTTAATAGTGTCTTTTGAGGAGCATAATTTTTTACTTTAAATGAAGTCAAATTTATCTTTTTTTTTCATGGAGCATGCTTTTTGTGTTAAATCTAAAAGCTCATTACCAAATCCAAGATAACCTAGATTTTCTCCTATTATATTCTAGAATTTTTATACTTTTGCAGTTACATTTAGGTCTTTGGCCCACTGAGTTATTATTTTTTTGAACGTTTTATGGTCAGTGTCTACATTCTCTTTTTCTTTCTTTTCTTTCTTTCTTTTTTTTTTTTTTTTGCATGCGGATGTCTAGTTGTTCCAGCATCATTTGTTGAAAAGATTACCCTTTTTCTAATTAATTGTCTTTGCTGATATTGTCAAAGATAAATTGAGTTTATATGTGTGGGTCTATTTGTGGGCTCTGCATTATGTTTCACTGATCCATTTATCTATTCCTTCAATACCACCACACTGTCTTGATTATTGTAGCTTTTTAGCAAGTCTTAAAGTTGGGTAGTGCCAGTCCTATGATTTTATTAGTCTTCAATACTGTGTTGGCAATTCTATGTCTTTTGACTTTCCATATAATTTTAGAATCACTCTGTTGATTTACACAAAGTAAATTGCCAGAGTTTTGTTTAGTATTGCATTGAATCTATAGATAAAACTGGGATGAGCTGGCATCTTAACAATATTGGGTCTTCCTATCCATTACATGGAATATCTTTCCATTTATTGAATCTCTTTCCTGAGAATTTTGTAGTTTTCCTCAAATAAACCTTGTACACATTTTGCTAGATTTATACCTAAATATTTTAAGGGTTTTAGGTGCTAATGTAAATGGCATCATGCTTTTAATTACAAATTCCCATTGTTCATTACTGGTATATAGGAAGGCAATTGACTTTTATGTATCACCTTTATCCTTCAATCTTGCTATAATCACTTATAATTTCAGGAGGGTTTTGTAATTGCTTTTTTTTTGGATATTTTACATATGCAATCATCTTATCTGTAAACAAAGGTAGTTTTATTTAATCCTTCAAAATATGTATATTTTATTTCCACTTCCCATTTTATTATATTAGCTAGGACTTCAAGTATGATGTTCAATTAGTGGGACATCATTGCCTTGTTCCCGATTTCAGGGGCTAATAATCTAGTTTCTGTCCATTAAGTATGATGTTAGCTGTATATTGTGGTAGATATTCTTTATGAAGTTAAATAAATTCTCTATTACTACTTTTCTGGATAGTGTTGGAGTCTGTCACATTCTTTTTCTGCATCTAGTGCTACAATCATGTGATTTTTCTTCCTTAGCATGTTGACGTGATGAATTACATTAATTAATTTTTTTAATGTTTAACCAGCCTTGTATACCTGGAATTAATCCTCCTTGGTTTTGGATTTTTTTTTTTACATTTCCTAATATTGTTTGAGGATTTTTGCATGAGAGATATTGTTCTCTAAAGATTTTTCTTATAATGTCTTTGCCTGGTTTTGGTATTAAGGTAATACCAAATAAGGTTAGTCTCATAGAATGAATTTGAGATTGTTCTTTCTGCTTCTATCTTCTGAAACAGATTGTAGAGTATTGGTATTATTTCTTCCTTAAATTCACCAGTTCACTATCTGGGCGTAGTGCTTTCTGTTTTGGACAGGTATTAATTATTGATTCAATTTACTTAATAGATATAAGCTGGTTAAGATTGTCTATCTTTTATTGTGTGAATTTTGGTAAGTTCATCTTCTAAAGCTTTGGTCCATTTCTTTTCTAAGTTATCAAATTTGTGGACATAGAATTGTTCATAATATGCCTTTATTGTCCTTTTGATGTCCACAAGATCAGTAATGATGGCTTTTCTTTCATTTCTGATATTAGTAATTTGTATCTTACCTCTTTTTTCTTAGTTAAAATAGATTAGAAGTTTATCTGTGTTATTAATCTCTTCAAAGAACCAGGATTTTTTTGTGTTTCATTGTTTTTTTTTTAATCTATTGCTTTCCAACATTTACTTTCATTTTTTTCTCCTTTAAATTTTATTTTCTTTTTTAAATTTTAAAATGTTTTTTTCAATTATACTTCACAAACATTATTATATTAATTTCAGGTGAACATTCCAGTGATTAGACATTATATAACTTACTAAGTGATCATCCTGATAGATCTCACACTCATCTGACACCATACACAATTATTAGAACATTATTATTTTAAATTTATCTTTATTATTAAAAGTATTACAGATTTCCCTCCCCCCACCATTGTTGCCCTCTACCCCACCTTTGACCCCACTCCAGAACTTCACCACACTGTTGTCTGTCCATGTGTTATGTATATATGCATATATGTTTTTTGGTTAATCTCGTCTCCCACCTCCCCCCTTCCCTCTGAAATTCCTCATAGAACAGGGGTGGGCAACCTTTTTGTGAGTGCGTGCCAAAACCAGCAAAATCTCTGGCTCAAAATTCTTCTCCGTGCCAACGCTAATTTTTTTAGAACATGTTACACCTACTTGATATCTCTTAAGTTGTACATATGTGAAGAACCTTGGAGAAATAATAAAATTCATTCGAGCAACAAAAACTCAGTATATGATGATGAAAAATACATTTATTTTTAAATGTATACATGTACACTGATAGTCCGACAGAAAACTTTATGACTCCGTTTGATATTATCAGTGGGACTTTTGCTTCTGCATCACTGATGACAGAGATTTTACATCAGGTTTATATTTTGTGAACTTCAGAGATATGCACAAGCTACTACTTTCATCCATCAGGCTACTCCTATTACGAGATTTAACAAAATTCATCACTGAGAACAAAGATTCACAAGCATATGTAGATGAAACCAAAACACTCGTCGGATCTAGGGAGGCAGGGAGAGTTAAGGCAGAGGCATAGAAATTGCTCTTCCCCTCTCTCGTCAATCCATGTCTATGGTCTTTAAGATAACTTGTTATGTAAAATTATTTATTTATCTAAGATGCACCTATACTGAATTTATCTGAAAAATAAAAAAGTTGATATTAAGAAAAAAATTGTAAATAAAAGATTATAAGAGAGGGTTTCACTTGCCAGCAAAAGTTACTGGCGTGCCATGTTTGGCACGCATGCCAGGGGTTGCCCACCCCTGTCATAGAATATTCTTGACTATATTCCCTATGCTGTACTTTACATCCCCATGACTAGTCTGTAAAAACCAATTTTTACTTCTTAATCCCTTCACCTTTTTCACCCATCCTCTCAACCCCCATCCCATCTGGCAACTGTCAAAATATTCTCTGTATCTATGGGTCTGTTTCCGTTCTGCTTGTTCATTTTGTTTTTTAGATTCAATTGTTGATAGATATGTATTTATTGCACTTTTGTTGTTCATATCTTTTATCTTCATTTTTTCTTCTTCATGAAGAAGACCCTTTCACATTTCCCATAATACTGGTTTGGTGGGAATGAAATCCTTTAGCTTTCTCTTGTCTGGGAAGTTCTTTATCTATCTTTGTATTCTAAATGATAGATTTTCCAGGTAGATTAGTCTTGGTTGTAGGGCCTTGCTTTTCATCACTTTAAATATTTATTGGCAATCCCTTCTGGCCTGCAAAGTTTCTTTTGAGAAATCAACTGACCATCTTATGGGAACTCCCTTGTAGGTAATTAACTGCTTTTCTCTTGCTGTTTTTAAGATTCTCTCTTTGTTTTTAACCTTTTGCATTTTAATTATGATATGTCTTGGTGTGGGCCTCTTTGTCTTCATATTGTGTGGGACTCTCTGTGCTTCCTGGACTTGTATGTCTACTTCCTTCACCAACTTAGGGATGTTTTCTGTCATTATTTTTTAAAATAGGTTTTCCATTTCTTGCTCTCTCTTCTTCTTCTTCTGGCACCCCCATGTTGTGAATGTTGGTATGCTTGAAATTGTCTCAGAGGCTCCTTACACTGTCCTCGTTTTTTCTTTTTTTTTTTCTTTTTGCTGTTCTGATTGAGTATTTTCTGCTTCCTTATATTTCAAATCTCTGATTTAATCCTCTGCTTCATCTACTC